CAGAGGCGTTTGATTGGCTCCTAATGGAGACATCACCCTGAACTAGACGAGCCTTTGGGTCTAATGCAGCAAGGTGATAGCATCAGCTGGAGTCTCTAAGTGTAGCACCTGATTCCATTAGTCTGCTTCTTCACTTAAGGGAAAAAAGATGTTCTCATAATGTAAATTCCTTTGGTATTTTTGATAGGGGCTGTTTGTTTCCCTCTGTACTTTTAAAAAGCACTCATTCTATCATTAGATACTCGCTTTCCCAAAGATTTAACTTGAAGAGAAGTTTTTGGCTGCATACCAGCGCATAACTGGCCAGCAATGACAGATTTATTATGCCCAAATGATGTCTGCCTTGAATTTCAATTTGGAGTCTGCTATTTCCGTGTTTTGTTTTTGGTTATTTATTGATATTTGTTGAGGTGAGGGCAGGAAGAAAGGAATAATGAATATTTAACTGTGCAGCTTTGAAACAGTGGCTTTTGCATAACAGGGGTCCAATTGGTCCCTCTAAGTTTATATAAGGCTTCGGCAGACTACAAAATGCTGACATTTGCAGGTCTCCAAAATGGACATGCTTAACCCTCAATTAGAGGAATTACCGAGGCCCTCTTGAAGGAGGAAGACAAATTCTTTATGAGACACAGATGCATTTATGAACCATATTCATGTGTCACCATCCACATGCGAATCTCTCTCACACCCTCTGTTTTCATTTTCAGAAAGGGAGTTATGCATGTTCATGCATAAGCTTGCAACACTTGTGTAACTGTATCTGTGGTACGGCTGGTGGAACAAATTGTTAAAAGTAATTAGCCCATTTATAAAAACAATTTTCTTACCATCACAATCACAGTTCTTGCTTTTGGATGCAGAGCTGGAAGGAAAACCACGGCAAGCAACTTGGACTGGCTAGGTGCTTGCACCCGCTAGTGGGCTGGTATAGGATTGGTGGCTATTTCAGCATTATCTGGCTCCCACCTTTCCTTCTGGCAAGACAAATTATTGGGTGCATTGCTCCTAAGGCCAAGCTTGATGTGTTCAATTTAATCCCATTGGGGGAAGGTTAATTGGTTAGACAGTTGTGTCTCATTTGACAGTGCCTAGAAAGGGCAAGGTCCTGCACTTTAAAAGATAAAAAGATCTTGGCTCAACTTGGGTAACCACGGACCAGTCACTCTCTTCTAACCTACACTACCTTACAGGTAATTCCACCCACATGTATGTCACCCTGAGCTCACTGGAGCCTAGGTGCTGGTTTTGACCTATAAAGCCTTAAACAGCTCAGGACCAAAATACCTCAAGGACCACCTCTTCCCATATGAACCTACCCAGTCTCTGAGATCATCTTCTGAGGCCCTCCTTCGTGTGCCTCCTCCTTGAGAGATCCGGAGGGTGGCAACATGAGAATGGACCTTCTCTGCAGTGGCTCCCCATCTGTGGAATGCTCTTCCCAGGGAAGTTCGTCTGGTGCCTTCATTATACACCTTTACGTGCCAGGCAAAAATGTTCCTTTTTAACCAGGCCTTTGGCTGATCTTATTGACATCCAACACCTTTTTAGAATGTGGCTTTTTGGGGGAGGGTTATTGGGTTACTGCTTTTGGTTTGATTTTATATGTTGTGGTCTTGTTGTTAACCACCCTGGGACCTCTGGGTATAGGGCGGTGTATATTGAATAAATAATAATAATAGGTGTCTGCACAATAATATTTTTTTTTTGTAGGGAGAGGGGGTAAAGTCCATGGACCATATCAGTGCTGCAGCTCTGCTCATGCAATAGACTTCCATGCGTGCAACAGAGCTTCATCAAAATCAGCTCTGGTGTGTTTGAGGCCCCTTCAGAGATTTTGGGGACATGTCAGGGGAAGGGGAATGGAACTCCCATTGCACAAGTGGAACTCTGCAGACCCTGCATTGAATACAACTCCAAGTAAACATAACTGAGATGTTTCTCACTAAACAAATGACGGGAAGAGTGCTTGCTCATTTTGGCTTCATATTTCAGCTTCTAGAAATGCAAGAAACTTACTTTTCTTCTACTACTTTTCTCCTCCTAAGAAAATCAGGAATCTGGGGATTATGGCTTATCTGGAGAGGCTAGCTCCCTTACCAACTCCTGTGGATGACTGTGCACTAGAGAAAGAGTGAGATATTGGAATGTGATAGATAAAATTACTGGAGGAGTTCTCAATGTCTAAGACACTAAATGCAATTAGTCTGGTTCTTTAGATAGATATCTTTGTGGATAGGAAGACTATAGCTGCTTCATTCCAATCTGTGCCCACAAGAATTTCCTAGCTATGATATTTAACTAGAGCTCTCCCCCCCCCCGCCACTTCCTTTCCTGTATGCATTTCTACAGAATATTTTCTTAAACTTTGCAAACAGCCTCTTATACACCAGCCTGGGCATCCAAAGCAAAGCCTGATTAGTGAACTTCAGAAGCAAAAGAGTGTTTTTGCTACCGTCTTTGGCTACGCTAATCTCCTCTACATTCATGAATCCTAAAACACCAGCTTGTCTCAGATTTGGCCTACCTATAAACGCCATTGCCTCTTAGTGACATCTGTGAGGATAGACAAGATGGAAACATTTCTTCAAATTGCTTTTGTAGTTGCTCCCTGCTGAGATTTGGCTCCAGCAGGTAACTTCCTTACTTTCCTCCCCAATAGAGATAATTGGCCCAGCCTAGGTTGAATTTATCTGGGTCTCATTAGCATAAATCCTTCCCAGCTTCCTCCTGTATCAGCCTAAGTATGGTAGGACAATGGCGCAGAGACCACCATGACAAAGATCCAGAAAATTATGCAAGGTGCACTGTGTGCCTGGCATTACTCTGCTAGACATATTCCCTGGCAAGCTTTGTTGGTGCTATTGGAACTTGCTGCCCAAACATGCACTGTAGATCCCAGCCTAAATCTCAGCAATTGACTCTAAAACACCAGGACGAAAGAAACATAAGAAGTGCATGTAAGTAATTAAGATAATGCTGTTTCCCGTGAATACGGAGTCTCTCTGCTAAACTGACGTTTGTGCAAAAATAAACCAAACCAAAATCTCCCTAACTGAAACATTTCCTAGCTGGTGTTGATAAAAGGTGTTTGGGCTTTGTGCTACTGTCTGGGGGCAAGTGGTCGGCAGCTTTCAAGAGTCTCCCCCACTCCAGCAAGATTGCCTTTTTCAAAACACAACGATCTGAAAGGATTTCACACAACCACGGTCAAGTTGGATTGAAATATGAATAGTTTTGTGCCAAGTGAAGTTAGCATAAGTTGTTCTTCTTGTGCAAGCTCTCGTTTTGAACCGTTCTCAGGAAAGTCTTAACCCGTGTATAGTCTTTTTTTAAGAGACATTAATGGAATTGGTCCTCTTTTTTTTGAAGAAAGTAATAGCATTAAACACATGGGGAGGGAAATGGCAGTAGCTGAGTGGTAGAATACTCACTTTGCATACAGATGGTGCCAGGTTCAGTCAGTTTAGTGTAGTAGTTAAAGTGCTCGACTAGGACCTAGGAGACCAGAGTTCAAATCCCTGCTCCACAGGATGCTGGACTAGATGGGCCATTGGCTCAGTGCAGCAGGCTCTTCTTATGTTCTAAAGACATGCATGGCAGATCCACATCACGCATTTAAAGCACCTTCAGTGCACATTTAAAGCACATGACTTTCCTCAAAGAACCCTAGGAACTGCAGTTTCACCCTCACAATTCCCAGCACCCTTAACAAACTACAGCCCACAGGATTCGTTGAAGGAAGTCATGTGCTTTAAATATGTTTTGTTGGAGTTTGGGATATACAGCAGTGGAGTGCAGAAATAGATAGGTTGTTGAAAGTGCTGGTTTATATGTAGAAGTGCACATTTGGAAATGTTATAATTTTAATCAGGAATGGGGAACCTCTGGCTCTCCAGATGTTTTTGGACATCATCTCTGACCATCCTGATTGAGGCCAATGGGACAAGAACCCAGGAGGCCACAGGTTCCTCACTCCCAATTTTCCTAAACAGGCAATCCATCTCACCAAAGTGCTTAGCTGACCTATACACTTGTTCAGTCGACTGTTCAGGTGATAACTGTTGACTGGCACCTCCTATGCCCCTATTATTTATTTTTGAACCAGTGGTGGACCACACAGCCTATCAAACTGAGGACACCTACGAATAGTGTCTGTAAAGGAGAGACACTGATCATGTGAAAAGGGCTTCAAGGGCTCATCCACACCTGCTTGTCTCTCTGATTCCCCCCTAGAAAACCCACTGTTTACTGGTGAATGGGAGTAAACGCCAATTGGGTTTGCTCCAGATTGACGTTCGCGCCAATTTAGCACTGATGTCCAGGTTTCCTGGGGCAAAGCCATGGGGCAAAGTCAAAACCACTCAGACCCTTGCTTAGAAAGCATGGGGCAAGCAGAAGAGGGGATGAGCCCTCAGTCCAGCCAGGAATGTGCAACAAGATAGTGGCAAACAAATATATTGAAACAAGTCTGATGCAAACTGGAAATGTAGAGTGAGACCAAACAGACTCTTTCATTGATGCCTGTCAGGGTCTAGCAGCTACACTCAAAGCAGTGGAGAGAGACTGAGCAATTGCTTTGGAGTGAGGGAAGCATCTTAGCTGGAACTACTCCAGATTCTTGAACATTAAAACTGCAGTAAAGCATGAACGGAAAACTCCTGGAGCAGACCTATAAAACCCTACACGAACCTACCTTATAAGGTTGTTGTGAGTTAGATGGGCAACTGGTGGAGCCTCGTATGTGCCAAGCCTGAGTTCTTGGGATATAAATCGGATAATTGGACTGAATCTCTGAACCCTCTACTCACTCTGCACTGTCATTTTGACAGAGGGGAGCCAGACATTTGGATGGCTAGGAAGACTTTTGATCTAAACTGTAAAATGTCTTAGCATGCCATAAATAATATTCAAAGTGTTTATCTCTGTGCTGCCAGGAACCAGCCTTTCACAGCTTACTGCACCACATGCTGAGGGTCTGGAAGTCACATAAAGACAACGTTCTCTTCATCAGATCTGCCAAGGTTTTTTCTTTTTTTCATTTTTTGTTTAAAGAGAGGGAGAGAGAAAGTAACAAGACTAGCTTGTTACACGTTGCATGCAACTGGTTACAAGATCTGTCTGTCCTTCAAGCGCCCAAACAGTAAAGCGAGGAAGTTAACAAGACACGTGGCTGTTATTATTTCAATTACAATGTCTTCTGGAATTCTTCCAGAGAAAGCAGATGTAGGTTTGGCCCAAAGGCTACTAGATAAACTGTTACATTTGTTATAAAATACATACGGCTTCTGAAGTTACTTGCTTGGTGGATATGAGTTCGAAAAGAAACAGCACTAGGTTGGGATGACTGAATGCAGGGACGAGGGACCGGTGGCTCTACAGATGTGGGGTAGAGCTACCCTCTCAACCCTGGCCTCCCTTCAGGAGATCAGGACCTGAGCTATAATTCCCAGAGTGGTTGAATGTTCAATCCCTCTTCCCAGGGAATTGTAGTTCTGTAGGCGGGAAAGGGCTCTTCTAAGAGCTCTCAGCATCCTTCACAAACTATAGCTCCCTGAATCATTTGCAGGGCAGTCATGACTGTTTAAAATTATACGACACTGCTTTAAATCTATAGCAGAAACAGGGCTTAAATGTCATGCCTTTTAGTATAGTGTTCTCTCTAATACTGAGAGCCAGTGTGGTGTAGTGGTTAAGAGCAGTGGACTCATAATCTGGTGAACCGGGTTCGCGTCTCCGCTCCTCCACATGCAGCTGCTGGGTGACCTTGGGCCAGTCACACTTCTCTGAAGTCTCTCAGCCTCACTCACCTCACAGAGTGTTTGTTATGGGGGAGGAAGGGAAAGTAGAATGTTAGCTAATTTGAGACTCCTTCGGGTAGTGATAAAGCGGGATATCAAATCCAAACTCTTCTAATACGCGTATGTTTTTGTTGTTGGAGAACTACATTGCAAAATTCAGAGAAGGATAGCTGTGTTTTCCTTCTTGTCTTGGTCCAGGAAGTGCAGGTTAAGTGCGCTGAATGCGTTTCTCCACCAACTCTACACCTACACAGGACAAGCCAGGATGCTCTGTTGCCATTGCACCTTCTCTCTTAACCTGGTAGAAGAGACTCCAAGATCATAATGGAAGGAAGGAAAGAAATAAAGTTAAATCTAAATGTCTTCCTTCTTAGTTACTCACCTGGCATCTCATTAAACACTTTAAGCTCCTCTTTAAACTTCTAAAGAACTATGGAGGTTGGGCTGCTATTGTTCTGAAAGTCTTTTCTTATTGAGGAGACTTATCAAAGGGAGGAAAGCTCCTTTTCCTCAGGATTTACAAGGGACGTGTCAGATTTGCTTAAGTTACTGCCAGCCTCGTTTTGAAAACCTCCACCTGTCTCCCTGTTTGGGTGTCGTCAGCAGGTGTGGGGGGTTTTGTTTCACTCTCTCCCCACAAGCTGCCTTTACAGCCTCCTTTCCCGTATTATTTTCTGATCTACACATGTCACTTGAATCACATTTCTCTGAACATAGTCAAGGGGGAAAAAACACCAGTTGGGGAGCATTTGGAAGCAGACAATCTCACATAAGGAAGTGAGATTACAAACACAATTTTAGTGGAGAACCCACAATTATGGAGTTCCCTCCCTGAGACCTACATCATTCCCCTTCTCTCACCATGGAGACTTTTCTATCCAATAAGGCATTTTTGAATAATTCCTCTGGTTATGTGTTTTATCTGTATTTGCTTTAATTTTTGTGAGCTGCCCTGAGTTCTAGTACTGGAGGAAAGGTGGGATGTAAATAATAAAAAAAATTGAACAGGTAAACACTGGGGAGACAAAGGGCACATTCGCACTTGAGAGCAATTTAAACAGTCGTGGCTTCTCCCAAAGAATTCTGGGAACTGTAGCTTGTTACAGGTGCTGAGAAATGTTAGGAGACCATTATTCCCCTCACAGAGCTCCCTGGGAATAGGAGCTCTGAGAGAGAAATGAGGTCTCCTAACAACTCTCATTACCCCTAATGAACTACAGCTCCCAGAATTCTTTGGTGTAAGCCATGACTGTTCAAATGGTATCATAGTATGTTAAGTGCATGGTGTGAATGTGGCCCAAGTGAGATGAGTGGTCAAAGAGGCAATACTGTGGTGGCAAGTGCTTAAGGGATGCTTGTTCTTATGTGGGTGAGAAGAGCAAAGGCCCTCCTTTGGTTAATAATGAAAGCCATGTGACCGTAGCTGCGGAGATAACATTGATCTTACATGCCTTGGAAACTATAGCTAAGGAAATTGAGTGTGATAATCTGCCAACTGGTATTTCACCCGCCCAAAAAAGATTAAAAATATATATAAGGAAGATACGTTCATCTCAGGCAAATAGCCAACCAGATGAATGCTTCAATAGATGTGTACTTAAATGATACCGATATGAAAGACAAACACAGCTGTTAGCCTTTAAAATATATGTGCAATTAAAGCTTTTTATGTGGTGTCTTGTGATAACTTAAGGCATCTTCCCCCCCCCCTGAAATATTTCCTTTTGACCAATGCCAGATAACTATATAGGACATTAGTGGGTTCTTGTTGTTATAGGGTGTGCATTCCTCATTTTGCCTGATTGGTGCTCTCAGGAAGACTCCCTTGCTCAATAGACAGGAAATAGACATACTGGTAGATTAATCCACCAACAGCCCAACCCTATCCATTTGTACTCAAAAATAGTTTGAGTTCAGAGGAGTTTGCTCACATAAACATTGCACAGGGTTGCAGTCTTTGTTGTCTCCTTAGGCCAAAGTCCTAGACCAGGCATGTCCAACTCCCAAGAGACTGCAATCTACTCCCAGTATAAAACAACTGGCAATGATCTACCCATTTTCATTGGAGGGATGAGGAGTGTTCATGGGGTGGGTGGATTGCCCAGAGTTGTGGAGCCCAGAGTTGTGGAGCTTTTTCAGGGTAGGATTGCCCAGAGTTCTTCAGCTTTTACTTGTTAACTTTTGGTAAACTTTATTTAATCCCATGATTGATAAGGGTCCCATGATCTACCAGGATCAGCCTGGGATCTACTGGTAGATCACGATCTACTGGTTGGACATGCCTGTCCTAGACTCATTTCCCTGGGAGTAAGACCCACTGAACACAATAGAACCTGTTCAGAGCAAACATGCTATTACATGGACTATTAATTGATTAGTAAATGAGGGTAGTTTTTTTTATCAAATGAGATGCGTCTTATAGCTTTCTGCTTCTTTTTGAGAGTATTTCAGTGCTGGTATGCTTATCAACAAATGCAAAAGGAAAAAATAAATAAACATGGCTTCCAGATTATGCATGGTAGCATCTGTTGATTAAATTTCCTTCAAAAGGCCATCTGTATTGAAGGTTTGGTAATATGCAGCTTTGCAGAAACTTCAGTAATATATGAAAAGGTGAAACCAGGTTTCCAAAGGCTTTGCATGAGATTTTCAAATACTCAGCATTACAACATGGCATTATGCATATTGTTTAACAAGGGAGTTCAAGTACAGCAATGACAGGCCTAAAAGTCAATGGCAGGCCACAGGTTTTGCAAGATTATAAACCCCAAAAAATCCCCTTTGCTGCAAAACAGAACAATCTGAACAACATCAAGCAACACGTAGGCTAATAATATATTCACAATACAGGTTTTGCAAGTGCAGAGTCCAATGTTCAGTCTCTGGTATCTCCAATTAAAATATCTCACTTAGCTGGGCTCGGGGTGGGGGGTGGGGGTGAGGGGACTGCTTCCAATAGAGGCCCTAGAGAGACAATGAAGTATGATCAAAACAATTGGGTTAGGTGGTTTGACAGCTTTCCAGGTTCAAGTGCAGCAGTCCATTTCCTGGATGTGAGCTGTCAGCAACACTTGGAAAGTTCCTTATAAAAAAAGGAACTGGTTACAGTTCTAGTTCATGCTGTTTAAAAAGGAATGAGTTCCAGTTCGTCCTTTAACAAAATGAACTAGTTCAGTATAAGTTCATTCAAATAAACCTTTTAGTTCCAAAAGTAAATCGGGGCAAACACAAGTAATAAGATGTCTGACACAGACATAATGTAAACCGGTCTAGCTTTCCCTATAATTGTATTTCCATACTAGAAAATGTTTACCTTGTTTATTTGGGCCAGCCACACAGCTATCACTTTATTTCTTTATCTGTACTTCCCACTGCAAGCTGCTCCTGTTGGAAGAGAATGAATTTCTTCAGGAGGGAAGATAATCTTCTGATTACTTAGCAACAGTGATTAAACAACCTTAGCAGCAGTAATAGCCCTGCAACTGCCTAATAAGCCTCAGAATGTTGCCTCCACATTTTGCTTTCTAACTTTCTTTACAGATGTCCAATTATTATTATTTTTTAAAAAATATTTTATTGAATTGTAAAACAAACAAAGAAGCAAATACAATTTGTGGATATACATCAAATAATAACTGTTTATGCTGTCACATTACACAACCATGCCTCTAATATTAACAGTTAAACGAGAGGAGCACAGTTTTTATAAATCAATTACGAGGTACAAATTTGATGCATTGGTACAGCCCAAGAACTATGCAGATCATTTGCAGTAGCATAAGAGATAAATTCAAATGACATAGAAATGTTCCAGGTCTTCACATCCTTTTGAAACTTTTAAATTCTGTTATTTTCTCAGTATTGCCAGATTCTAGACATTATTATACCACAAAGACAATCATGTCATGCCTTCCTTTTGGAGCCATAAAAATTCAAGCAGCTGCCAACAACCACATTACTAAGTCCTTTGAATGTACTGTATATTTGCTGCCTGATTATCCAGCATGTTTAGCATTTGACTGCTAGTTATTTGAACAGCAGTCTTAATAATTTTAGCAATCTCCTGATATACCTCAATCCAAAATTTGTAAATAAGCAGGCACTCACACCACAAATCGAAGTGCGTGCCCCTGGCACTACACTCATGCCAGCAAACCGGTGTCATGGGAGAGAGAGGAGATCCCAGCAGACTTTAGGGATGCCAAAATTATCCATTTCTTTACAAAAGGTGATAAAATGGATTGAGGAAACGATCGAGGCATCTCCTTATTAGCTGCGAACGGCAAAATTCTTGCAAGGATCTTAGCAAACCATCTCCTAACAATATCCAAGGTTACCCTTCCTGAATCCCAAAATGGTTTTCGACCTTCTAGGGGGTAGTGGACATGATTTTTCTCTGCTTGACACCTTCAAGAACAATGCAGACAGCAAAACCAGCCCCTGTATATGGCGTTTATTGACCTGACTAAGGCCTTCGACACCGTAAATCGTAATGCCCTGTGGACTGTCCTTCTGAAAATTGGCTGCCCAGATAAATTTGTGAACATCATTCGGCTCCTCCATGATAATATGGCAGCAACCATCACAAGTAACAATGGCTTTCAAAGTGAACAATTCACAGTGGGATCTGGGGTTAAACAGGGTTGTGTTATCTCCCCAACTCTATTTATTATTTTCATTGCCATGATCCTACACTTTGTCGAAGGGAAATTCCCTACTGGAGTAGAAATCATATATCAAACAGATGGAAAGCTCTTTAATCTGAGTAGGCTGAAAGCAAAGTTACTGTAACTTCCATCATAGAGCTTCAGTATGCTGATGACAATATAGTGTGTGCAGACTCAGAGGATGATCTCCAAACCATCCTAAATATCTTTGCATAAGCTTAAAAAAAGCTTGGCCTGTCACTCAACATCCAAAAAACCAAAGTGCTGCACCAACAAGCACAAAACAACCCCTCTACAGTGCCACAAATCCAACTCAATAATGTAATGTTGGAAAGTGTTGATCACTTCTCCTACCTGGACAGTTATCTTTCTACAAGGGCTGACGCTGTTGCCAAAATCCAGCATTTCCTGAGCTCTGTGTGTGTAGCTTTCTCCCGACTGAAGGGCAGAGTGTTTGAGGACTGGGACACTTGCAGGGAAACCAAAATGCTTGCTTACAATAAGAGATAGCATAAAACAGTAGCAAAGGAATGACCACCATATAAACTTTATGTGAAGTTGATGGGCAGATCAAAGGCCTTCTTCTAGTGCCAAAAACAATGGGGAAGATTTTTCTAAGCTTGAGGCTCAGCAACTGAAAAAACACACAACAAAAACACAAAACTCTATCTTAGGTGACCACCTACTTTGCTTCTGAATATGAAGGAACCCGAAGAAGAGTTTTAATTATTAGGCAGGTCCTTAAAATGCCAATAATCTTGACTGTTTGCCATGTTGGAGGTCGATTGGGGCTTTAATCTAGAAACATCTCGCATAACATTGTGTATCCCTGCCTTAAGATATTCCAGCCTCAATCCATTTAAGGCTTTAAAGGTTAAAAGCAGAAACTTGATTTAAGCCCAGAAGTACATTGTGAGCCACTGCAGCCATGTTAGGGTTGGAAAGATCTGATCCATACACCCAGTCTTAGTCAGAGTCTACACTGTGTTCTGTTTTGCACAAACTGCTTCATATGGTGTCAGAATCTAAAGAATATGCTTCTTACCATATCAAATAATTAGTCCATCAGGCCCAGTATTGCTTTGCTTGTTTCCCATACTCTGTGCATAAGTATAGAGACAACTGAAACCATGAGTCATTCCCTCCAGCTGCTTCTTTCTTGTAGTTTCCTGCCTTTTAGCAGGTCTCTGTAGCACCACCTCAGTTTTCTGTGCAACAAAGAAGCTATAATCCCCAGTACCAGGTATTCCTTTGTCATTTGTATTATTCTCCCCCTCCCCTTTAGGATTTAATTTAAAGCTCTCCTGATCAGGTTCGTAAGTCTCTTAGCAAATACATTCTTGCCAACCCCATTGAGGTGCAACCCATCTCTTGCCAGAAGTCCTTCATCAAGGAAGTGGAGTATATGTGTGCTGTTTTTCACAGGCTGGTAAAGACCCTTGAGCAATTTATATCTATACTCCTGTGACAATGTTAACATCCTCAAAATAGATATGTTGGCTGCCTAGTTCAATTTTTGTCTTTAAAATTATTTAAAAGTCTCACTGGGAATCTAATCAAGTCCTTTGCGGAATTTACAGATTTCCCAGCATGAGAGAACCCATTTAGCAGAAAAGAATGTAAGACATCAACACTTTTCAATCAGAAGCTAATTAAACAGCAGCACAGAACAGTTTGCAGAGGGTGTGCAAACAGCACTCTTGAATCTCCAAGACTGCAGGGCAGAGTGTGTTTAGTTGTGCTGGCTTCACAGTCCTACTTTGTGATTTACTCCTTGGCAATTTAGAAAGGATGGTGCTAAAGAACCTTGATTTCAAACTTGTGAAATACACACATTTTTTTCCACCCCTCCCCTTTTCCCTTCTTTTGTTGTTGTTGTTGAGATTTACATGAAAACAGAGTGAGTAATGAGTCCATCAACAAGTCCTTTCTTATCAGAGCTGTAAGTTTCTGCCGTGAGATTCTTTTCTTGTTTAATTATCAGGTCTTTAAAAGGCGCATCTTTCATCTGTCTCGATTACTTCCTCTGTTTTCCAGATAATGAGTAGCTTAATCCCATGTGCTATAAGACAGATCTGTTTACTAAAAAAAAAAGTTGGCTTAGTGTCCATCTTATGAAAGAACATTGAGGACTTAATTGTGGTTTCTGCTTTTTTATTCAATGGGTACGATCCAAAGTTAAGCATTTTTATAGCCTCTTGATTTAATGGGAGAGTTAAGCATGTGCTTAAAATCTTCTATATTGAAATCAACAGTACTTATAAATGCTTAATTAATTTTGTCTGGATGGTGCCTTGTGTAGTTATTCTAGACATTCAAAGGTTCCAAGTTAGTCTGGGGGAAAAACTCTGCCCATGTTCCAGTACCTACTCTGGCTTGGCTCAGTATATGTACATGAATGAATGAAGATGATCCTTTGGCACAGCTTCCTTGTGGTAATCTTGGCTTTGGAACTCATGCTTTTTTATATGTATTTGTGCAGTTGGCTCCAATGAGCTGAAATCTATTTTGTGTTCACGGATAATAGCCAGCCGCTTGGCTCAGCTTGTATTGTGGCTTTATCTGGAAGTATATCCATATTGACTTTAAAAAATGCCCGTGGGTACCAAGCTTTTCATTTCCAAACTGGCATTGTTTCCACAATCATATTTACACGGACTCCTTTTTCATTTTCTCTTCTCCTTCACAGATTCCATGGATGAAGCCTCTGACCACATATTGGAAGACTTTGCCATTGCCCAACAAGCAACCCATCGTGATAAATACTGATTGCATGTTATGGACTTGGAGAGCACATTAAGAATTTTCTCCCTAACTCCTTAAATATCTTGAAGAATCAACCATAAGTAGAGTGTAATGTTTCATAACTGGGGCCCACAACTGTGCTGTGGGAACTGTGTCAAACACAGAGGCAAAGTCCATGGAAAATGTTTCTAGTGATTTTATGCCTTCCAGTATGAAATAAAATAACAGCAATTAAAAAAAACAAAAATTCCCTACGATTGTGAAATGGAGATACTAAATAGCATTCAGTAGGTTGGTTTTGTGTTGTTTTTTTAAGCAAAATGAAACATGACATTTTAACAAAAACTAGAAGTTATAACACCTGACACATAATCCATACCTTTCTTCTACTTAATATCTATATGAAGCAATTGGGAGTGGCCACTGGGAGTTCTGGAGCAAAGTGTCACTTGTATGTGAATGATATACAATTCTGCTTCTCCATAACATCTGAATCAGGAGAAGCTGTGAAAGCTCTGGATTGGTGTCTGAATGTAGAGGTGGACTATTTGAGGGCCAGTGAACGACACATGAATCCTAGGAAGACTCCTTTTTAGGCTGCTGGTCCCCATGTTCAGGAAACTGGCAAGTTACCAGTTTGTGATGAACCCCCTCTGCAGGAGGTTGGAGATACTCCTGGATACATCATTGTCATTAAAGGCACAGGTGTCTTCTGTAACTAGCAGTGCCTTTTACCAGCTACATCTGGTTTGCCAACTACAGTCATGGCTTAACAGGGATAGTCTGACCACTGTAATCCATCCATTGATCCATCCATCCTCTCAAGGTTGGATTACTGCAATGCATTCTATGTGGGGCTGCCCTTGGGGATGCTGATGGAAGCTTCTGGTTGAGAACATGTGACACCTTTGTCAAAGCAGCTGCCCTGGTTGCCCACTTACCCCTAATCCAAGTTCTAGGCTCTTGCGTTGATTTACAAAGCCCTGAACAATTTAGGTTCAGGGTAGCTCAGGGATCGCCTGAACCCTTATATCCCAGCTCGATCACTAAGATAATTTGCAGGAGCATCATTGATCGTTCTCTGAATTGGGGATACTCATTTGATAGCAACAGGAAGCAGAGCCTTTAGTGTCATCGGTCCAGCCTTGTGGAATACTCTGCCAATGAAGATTCAGCAGGTGCTTCCTGAGTGCCTGCTGAAAACCTGTCTATTCTGCCATGCCCATGCAGGCAATTAAGAATACACCCTTTCACAATTGTTAATTGATGCCAGTTTTTAATCTTTTAAGTGGTTTTTATTATGTTTTATAACTGTAAACTACTTTGGTATGTATATATTCTATGACATAGCAATGCATAAATATTTGAATGAATGAATGAATAAAAATACTATGGACCTTGGGATGAAAATGGGACAGATATCCTGAAGAAGCCACTGAAGATTATCTATGCTATTAGTGCATCTGCTTCTTCAATGAGCTTTGGCAGATGCAATTGACTTTGACTTCTCTGCTGATTACACATGTGGCTATGAAGATGAACACACTGGACACAAATAAAAACTACAGGCCTGAGTAGCATATTCAGGGCACAGCAAAGGTAATGTGGCTGCATTGTAACATCACAAGTATCAGAGTTAATCTAAACATGCAGAAGAATCATGTAATACAGCTTTTATTAGCTATAATAAAAAATGGTTACAATGAATGTATAATGATCCACTGCAGCTTCATGTAGAGAATCAGTGAAATAAGTGAAATTTTGTGCCAAATTTGCTCATGTACTCTTAAGGGTTTCCAAATAACTCTCTTGCCTAAAGCTCTCAAAACCCTAGGGCCATGAGTGCCTAAATGGTACAACCCAGGGAAAGCTGGTTTGTAATTCTGTTTTGTTAGATTGGCACTTTACTCCAGGCCTTACAATGAGGTCTGGTCTGATCATTTTGGCCAAGTTCCTTTAGCCATTCACAGGGGAGGCGAAAAGAAATGGCCCTGGAATGGAGAGGAAAACTTCAGAGAGCTTCAAGGTTGTGCAGAGATTCGGTGCTTACCTTAATAATTGTAAGGTGTCTGTTAACTTAACAACAAGAACAAGAACACCACATTGAGCAGCACTCTGCAGCCTCCCTAGCTGCCCACAATTCAAGCAATGTTCATGGGAAGTGAGGGTAGTGTGCCCTAGATGATTTTTTAATATCTAGAAGGACTTGACTTATGCCATTCTTAAGGTGCACTGCCATTCTTAAGGTGCACTACAGGCAGCCACAGTAGAACCTGATGACAGGTGAGGAGGCTGCCTGTAGTGGACCTGAGAGTGTTGAGATTTATTATTATTATTATTATTATTATTATTATTATTATTATTTAGTTAACAGAATTAAACTTTTAAAAAGATCTCCACAGGCAACCTCCCTGACTACAGTGTCCTCCCATGGATATTCCAGGTAGTATGGGCAGCCGGGAATGTTGCACAACACCTTATAAGAATTGTCTTTCTTTCTTTAAAACAGAGAACACACACACCACCTTGGCCACCTTGTAGCCTTATTACGGGAAGTGCAAAATCCCTGTGCACTCTTTCCTTTCCAAAAGAGGTATAAAAAAAATAAGGATCTATTTTGTGTCAGAGAGGAGAAAGCAATGCTCAAAGGTGATGAGAGGGGTTCGGCGCAGCTCTGCTTACAATTTCAGCCAAGTTTCATCTTTGCACTAATAACAGCAGTATTTCTTTGTTGGCCCCTAGTTCCTATGAGCCTTGGATGATACAGCCTTCAGATTTTCTAAAGACTCCAATGTGTGTATTCAGTACAATATGAAACTTTCTTCCAGTCACTTACTTTGATCCTGTGTGTGAACAGGTTAATTGAGAGAACACTTTATCCCTTATATACCCAGGAGGTTGCTGTGTTCTGCAGGAGAGTCTCTCCTTCAAGTCCCTAACATATCAAAAGCCCGCTCTACAGTAATTCGGAGTGGGGCTTTCAATGAGGCTGCTCCTGTTTTGTGGAACAGTATCCCTGTTGAGATTCGACAGGTGCCCCACTCTCTGTACTTTCCGGGAACAACTGAAGAGATTTTGGTTTTGACGAGCTTCTCCAGCTGTTTCTAAACCTATCTTTAGGTCTTGTTGTTTTTTACACTTTTTGTTTTGTTTTGTTTTAAACTATTTCCGGCTGTGTTGATGGTATATTGGTAAAAAACTGGTAGAAGGTGATTCATAAATAAATATATGATAGCAACTGCCTTATTGTTCAGGTGAGCACTCTTGATGCACCTCCTTGATTCTGCTTCACTAGGCTGATTTGGCAGACCATGTGCAGCAGTTCAAAGAAATCTGAAATACCATGTCAAAAAAAGTACACCTCATAATGGGGTTCCCCATCACAAGACAAATTGTTTTCTCAAATTTTGAAAGAATTAGGGCTGGCTCTTATGTGACATTTTGTCACGGAGATACAGGGATGCCAGGACCAGCAGGGTGAGGATGACCCAGGGGTGGGCACCAGTGGCTACTGGGAGTCCTTAGGGTGTGGGTGTCATGGATGGGTTGGGCACAGAAGAATGGTGGGAGGAACCAACTGGGGAACCCCCAAGGGACTCAAAGGCCAGGGACTGGTAGTGGGGCAACGAAGAGGGAGAAGACTGGGAGGAGGAGGTGTTGAAAGCTGAAGAGGTAACAGGGCTTAGTGACATGGGAGAGTCTGTGGCAGAGAGAAATGATAAGTTAAGCACATATTTGCAGATTTGGATATTTAGATTAAAAAAAGAGTGCATGGCAATTTCATTAATATTATTTTAAATTGTACATCGGCACTGGTTGCATTGCTGTCCTTTGTTTCGCAGAAGCTAAACACCAGTGCGCACCTTGTTCTGCATGTTCTGTCCCCAGATCACCACAGAGGCAGAGGGAGCCTTGCCCTGTTATATTATGTGACAGCTCGCCCCCCCCCCCCCCAGCTGCTTTAGAAGGCTATGGTTTGACTAAAGCCCTGGATTTGATTGAGCTCTCCTACCTTCTCTCCCTTTTCCCATTTGAGTCCTATAGAGGGTGCTATAATGGGACTTAGATGAGTACCTTCTCTCACTTACTCCACCAGAGTACAACAAGAGCCAGTTTATCCAGTGGCATGGCTTTTCGTGGACTTGATGCCAAGCATACTCCACCTACTGTTACCTCCCTCCCTCTCCAAAAAGGAACAAAGATCCACTTTGGGAAAGGGGGAAACTGAAAACTAGTAGAGGGAAAATCCAGCAATAACTGGAGAAGCCCAAAGGTATCTGCTGGTACAAAATGATGCTATTTCTGGTGATCCATAATCCACAGCAAGAAAAGATGGTCAGTGTGTAAGTTCGGGTCCATCAGGCCTCTCCTACCTTCACCGGAGCCTCCCTCAACTTACTATTCACTGTCCTTTCCATGAGATCAGACTTTTAGGAGAGGTTGTGTGTGAGCAGATGGCAATTCAGATTGTCATGAACTGCTGACTTCTGCCCCATGTGGCAAGGTGTATAACCAGCCACTCGAAGAAGAACCTTCCAAACCTAGACTGGCTCCACCCACTCAGGTTGGCCATTGGTTCTGCCTGTGCAGGAAGAAGTAGGAAGACGGCTTTCTGTCTCAGTGGTTCATCAGTTGAGTAACATGGTTTCCTAGGCCTTAGTGAGTGTTGTTTCTCCCAACTGGCTCTTCCATCCTGCCTTCACATTTGCCTACTGACACCTCCTTGGTACTGAATGCTGGTGGGTCATCTAACTTCAGTTTATGGTTAGCACTTGGAAGTGAATTGTTTCACCAGGGTTCCCCAAACCTGGGTCTCCAGCTGTTGCTGGGCTATAAGTACCATCATCCCTAGCTAGCAGGACCAGGGACCAGGGACCAGTTGTCAGGGATTATGGAAATTGTAGTTCAAAAGCAAATTTGGGAAACCCTGCCCCAAACCACTGCCCAGGGTCCAGGAGGTGGTAGACCTGACACACACACCCCACACCACATTATCCAATTAACTAGTCTAGCAAAGACAGAAAGCAAGTGAGACAAAACAGATGTTGCTTCATTCTTCTTCTGGGACAAGTTTGTTTCCCTTAACATCAAATGGCTATGGCAGCTTCAGTTGTTGTTATAATGGGTTTATTTTAATTGGAAAAATAATTATATAAGAATGTTTCTTTGGATCAGGATTGACTCAGTGGCTGACACATGGTTTGTATCTATTTTGTCCCAATGAAGTAGAGTCTTTACTTAATGATGATGGTTTTACAGCTTTTATTACTCATTTGCATCTGTTTTTCTTGAGGTTAATTGTAATTGAAGCACTTAGTATATTGTTCCTTGTGGGCCTCTATATGTTTTCCATCATGATAATTGCTGTGAACTCTCAAACAATCATGCTGTGATTATCTCAGGATAATCTAGATCTCCTGCAGCCCTAAGTAATCTTCCCATGTTCCCAAATTGTGGTGTTTACTTTACTCCAACTTGAAGGCATTGTAAGAAACCAAATAATTAGTTTATTTGGGACTTTACACTGGACAAAAAAGGCAGCAAAAGAGAAAATGTACAGTATGTGCATGAAAATGTGCAACAAGACCACCAGGGAAACTTGATCATATAGTTTACATTGTCCACTTTTAAAACAGATTTGTATGTAGAGTTTCATCTATCAGTTTTTATTTGTTTTGTTTTGTTTTGGCTTTCCACATGTGAAAAGAGAAACCTAATGTCTACAGGCACCTGATGCAATTTTTCTGCTGAAGCTAAGCAGCTTGGTCCTATAAGCTGCCTGGATGGGGAAAGGCACTAGCTTAGTGGTAGAGCAACTGCTTTGCATGCCAAAGGCTCCTGGTTCAATCCCTGGCATCTCCAGATATGGCTGGGAGAGGACCTTCTTTGAAATTGTGGAGAGCCACTGCTGGTTAATGTAGACCAGAGGAAAGACCGATGCAATCTGCCCCATCCAGGACTCCACATCACAGAGTTTCCAAACGTAGCTTTGAACACAGACTGGAAGGCTGATCCTTCACAAGGTTCAAAATTGACTTTCAGTCGTAGCCATTGCCAAAAGCAATTTCCCAACATGGGAAACATTTGCCTAAAGTATCTAGCAGACTGGTCGTAGAATGTGATACCACTTTCCACACTTTCCACACAGAATAACCAGGCCATGCATTATCAAAACAGTTTCTTGTGCAGAACCTCACCTATGCAGTGGCAACAGAAAATACAAGGCCCTTCTTTTGACACCATCACAACATCGCTCTTCAAATGGCCCCTATGTCATGTGACATAGTCATTAAAGCAGCTACTATTGTCCCTCAGAATACCAGACCTGGCAACCACAGCACCATTGGTGTGGGTGAACCTACTAATCCACCGGTCTACCAGGCCATTAACGTGATCATCATCAGTCAACAAATTCCTCCAGAGCATTCTGAATTCCAAGACTTTGGAAGCAGGCCACCTTAACTGGTTGATTGTGCCCCTAACATCAACCTATACATTCAGCATACCTGTATTCTCAGAAGACTGTGATCTTGAAGCCCATAGCATATTTGGCAAGATAGGCAACTTCACCTACCATAGAGCAATGCTTCTTATTCTGCCAATATGAGTGGTTTGAGGTTTGGAGCTGTTGCCTCTTTATAGAACACCGAGACCTCATACTATGAGATTTACTGTGTGTCATATAGCATAAGCGATGTACACATGCCATAACCCTTTATTTAAAAAGAAGCAGGGTGTATCCAATTTTAGACTTCCCCTTCTTCCTTTGGCTATTTGTGGCTTGGTAACATGCTACATTCCTTCGAGGCTCTATTTCTGAATGCGCGAGATGGGGCTTTCCTTCAGGCATACAAATCTGACGTTAACAGCAGCCAATACCCCCTTTCTTCATTCCAATTTGATTTTAAACTAAGGCTAAGGGGAGGGGGGAATCTATAGAGAGACCCCTTTTGGTTCAGACACTCCAGCCTACATTGTGTTTCTGTCACAGGAATGATTCTGTGAGGAGCTAATTAAAAGACCCGAGAATGTGTGAGGGTTAAACTCACAAGCTCTGCTCATTAACAGTCATTCACCTAAGAATATTTTGAGATAATTCTTTTTGGTGATGGAAATGAAGAAAGAAAGGGCTAAGACTAGACAACAGAGGTGTTTTTTAAAAAAACAAAACAAAAAACCCCCACATATTTTGTTAGACAAGCGCAAATTTCTGTCCCACAATGCTGGCAATATCTAATTTAATGAGGAGGGCTCTTCCCTTCCTCTGGTTGTTTCTTATTCCAGGAAAACCAAAACAAAACAAAAAAAAATCACTAATGAACACACTCCCCTCCAAGAAATAGAGGGGGTGGTAGAAATCAGAACCATTTTGTTAATTGTCTTTTTCCTGCTGTTTCCATGGCGATACTGGCTAGTAGGCTTCACCACAGAGTGACAGTCGGACAATTCACACACTGCACCCTTTCAAGCTCATTCAATGGCTGTGAAAGGGACAGGACAGGCACCATTCAGAAAACATGTGATATCTACTCAATGTACTACCTTTCATCCACATCTCCCAAATTGCAGTTAATTTAATTCTAAACAAATGGCTAAGGGGTACAAATGAGGATTAGGAGGAAAAGAACATCTTGAGCTCTAATGGGGACCGTTTGTGTGAGGAACAATCAAACACTTTCTTCTGCTGCCAAGGCTGCTTGCTTGAAAGGTGGGCTTTCCCTCATCTTCTTCAGGGCGCCTTAATTTAGACTCTATATCAACAGCGAAGGAGAAATGGGGTGGGGTGGGAGGGAAAGGGGGAGAACATGACAGAAAATTCTTTGGGTGAGCCCAGTTCACCCATGTGGAAACATAAGAATAAGCTTACAATGTTTTGTTCTGTCAGGACATTCGACAGGGTGGTTTGCCAGGGCAATGGGTTTTTCATGCGCTGCTTCTATCCGTTAAAATACATCCAATACATACATCTTTAAGTATCAGCCCAGAACTTCACACCTGCAATAATCCGCAGACTCATAGCCAGGCTTTCTCCCAAAGTGGGGCTGCCTCATTTTCAGGTGGGCCTTCAAGGATGAACGTGTGGGTAAATCAGTAGTTTCTTCATAACCTATTGGGAACTAGAAGTGAAGCACGTAATAAAATGTTGCATTGTAGAGCATGATCAACAAAAACTACCTTCTGCATTGCTACTGCGCAGCTGTTGAACTTGGGTTCTGCATGAGAGCTTTCCATAGGCATCTAGTTGCTTCACTGGTCAGAAGATGGGCCTTTGACCTGATCCAACAAAGTTCCTCTTATGGTCATATGTTATGTATAGCTAGCTCTCTCTAACAGATAACTCTGCTCTATCCCATCTTCTGACCAGTGAACGACCTTGTCTAAGGTGATGAATAGGTGAAAAGCATTTTTTTCACATTCATCTCTACTTGCTAGTCCCTCTTCTGTCATCCCAACCCTCTCAAACCCTCCCCCTTGTTTTCTTCACCTCACTATGGAAATTTATAACATTATCTCTTGGGGGCAAGTACAATTTCAAGCATCATGCATACAGATAGTTGTTGTTGTACATTGCAAAAATACATGATTAGGCAAGGCATCATTTTAATAGATTTCAATAGAATAAACTTTGTTGAAAAGGGTGATTATCTGAAGCCTGTTATATATACAGTGCAAAGGAATGTAAGGAATCTACCTATAGAGCGTGGATTTATTATGAATCTACCATTAGATTAGGACGCGGGTGGCGCTGTGGGTTAAACCACAGAGCCTAGGGCTTACCAATCAGAAGGTCGGCGGTTTGAATCCCTGCAACGGGGTGAGCTCCCATTGCATGGTCCCTGCTCCTGCCAACCTAGCAGTTTGAAAGGACATCAAAGTGCAAGTAGATAAATAGGTACCGCTGCAGCGTTTCCATGCACTGCTCTGGTTTACCAGAAGCAGCTTAGTCATGCTGGCCACATGACCCGGAAGCTGTACGCCGGCTCCCTCAGCCAATAAAGCAAGATAGCGCCGCAACCACAGAGTCGCCCGCGACTGGACCTAACAGTCAGGGGTCCCTTTACCTTTACCTTTACCATTACCATTACTTCTCTCTCTGTGTGTTAAACTCAAAGTTTCATTTTTAAAAATTTTTTAATACTGATTGTAGGAGCACTTTGTGGGCCAAATTATTCATGTGATTAATAGTTTTATCGATCAGTTAATGCACAAGATCACAAAGAGATGGCCATATTAATCAAGAAAACTCTTTCTTTCTTTCTTTCTCAGCACAAATGTAATGCTGCTTTATCCCAGACTTTCTATCACACTTCAAATGGGTTTTTCCTGAAATTAGCTAAGGCTAATTCAATATAAGCAGCCATTTGCTAAGTAAAACAGAGTTTAAATTATATAATGTGTGTGCATGTGTTTGTGTGTATGAGGCACATATTTGCAGGTTGTAAAAGAGATATATGGCTCCCCAAACTCACTCCATAGCCAAGGCCAACATCTGACCTCAGTGTTTTCCTCTTTGAGCAGATGCTTGGTATTGAATTCACAGTCATTTATGACACAGCTCCTGATTTCCTATCCCCCCCCCCACTACTCCCTACATATGCCATTTCAAGATTAACATGTCCAGGGCAATAGTATAATCTTCAGATCAGGCTGAAAACAATGGCAATAGGAGGTAAATATAAAGATCCAAGGAACTGTCGTACTAGTTCTATGAGTTCAATAAGGCTTTTAGTTTTAGTTTCTGCAAGCTACCTGTGCTGCCCCTAGCACTTGGCTAACTGCTTCTCCAACTGGATGCTGTATTTTGGTCTAATCCAGCATAGCCTCATTGTGATGATGATGATGATGATGATGATGATGATTACTATTAATTACCCACCCTTCACCCTAAGGTCCCAGGGTGGGTTACAACAATTAAAACACAACATTAATATGAAAACACAACAGTGTAAAACTACTTAAAATTACCAAAATAAGGTGGGTCCTCAAAATACACACCTGAAGTGCCAAAAGTAACAGGTTCATCTTCAGCATTTACCAAAAGCTGTATAGTGAAGATGCCAGACATATCTTGGTGGGGAGGGAGTTCTACAACTTAGGGATTGCCACAGAGAATGCCCTTCCCCGGGCTTCCTCCTCACCCCACCTCTGAGCTCCTGAGGGTGGTGGAATAACCAAGAGGGCACCCTCAGCTGATCTCAGCACTGAAGATGGTCTGTAGGGAGAGCTGCTGTCTTTCAGGTATTTGGGGCCTAAGTCATTTAGGGCTATAAACACTAATGTGAGCACATTGATTTGAGCCCAGAAACAGGTTAGCAAACAGTCACATTACAATAATCCAATTTGGAAGTACAATGGTTCAAGTCATCTCTGCCCAGCAGGGGCCACAGCTGGCGAACCAGCCATAGCTGAGAAAAGGCACTCTTAGCTATCAAGGCCACCTGAGTGTTGAATCCAGGGATGGTGTTGAATCCAATAGCACCCCAGAACTGCAGACCTGCTCCTTCCAGGGGAGAACAGTTCCATCTCTCAAAATGAGGGCTTGGGACACATATCACTTCTGTCTCTTCAGGATTCATCTTGAGTTTATCTGCCCACATCCAACCCATCACCATCGTCAAGCGTAGGTCTAACAGCTCAACTGCCTCTCCTGATTCCACTGAGAGAAAGAGAAAGGAACTGCATGTCATCTACATATTCATACCCTCAATGATAGCTCTCAGTGGCTTCATGAGGAAGTTAAATATCATGAGGGATGAGATGGAACCCTGAGAGGCACCACAGCACAACTCCCATGGCAATGGACAGTAGTCTTCTATGTCTACTTTCTGGAAATGTCCCTGGAGGTAGCAGTGGAACCAATG